ATGTTAAATAGCCTGCCATAAAATTATACTAATTTCATTTGTTGTTCATTCTTCGCAGAACTTTCTCCGATTGCCAACCTTTATCTGTGATCACGGAAAACGACCCGCTTTATTGTATAGAACTGCCACAATTGAAAGAACCAGCGGAGCAAGCGTATATCTTACTCGTCTGGATTAATGTTCTTGTAAAAGGGGACTTGAGGCAACGATTTGGCAGTCCGTACACCATGCAAGTGTCTAGGGAAACGTCGTACGAAGATCTGCAAAAACTTTTGCTGAAGGAGATGCATAGTATTCTGGCTGATGATGTTCTTACTTCGAGCCAGAGTCCTGGATTGTTTAACATTCGCGTGGCGGATCCTGCTGCAACGCCTATTCAGGATGAGCATCCGTGTATAGATCCCTGTGTGGAACACCCCCTTTACACGGAGCAGATCGAACAAGCATTGGCCCTCTGTGCCGATGACTCGGGTCCTCAGCATGTAAAATTAATTCTGGAGTGGGACGAGGCTACTAAGTGTAATATTATTCAAGACGACAGTGATCAAATTGAAGAGCATGCCAGCGTGAAGCAGTTGAAAACGAATTCAGAACTGGGCGGAGGTGTTACTTTGGAAGAATGTTTCGACCTATATACGAGAGCCGAGATATTAGGAGCAGAAGATGCGTGGCACTGTCCGTATTGCAATAAGAAACAAGAGGTTGTGAAGAAATTGGGACTTTGGTCTTTGCCTGATATCTTGGTTATTCATTTGAAAAGATTTCGACAACAGTCTAAACAAAGATCCACGTCCAAATTAACTATGTTAGTCGATTTCCCTTTGTATGGTTTTGATATGACTCCCCATCTTGCTCATAGCGGAGTTCAAACGCATAATAACGTTAGTAGTTTAGGTGGTCTAGGTTGGTCACCCTGGAAGAAACCCAGGCCCCGTCAGCAAAATATTCCAAAATACGACGAAAACGTTTACGATCTTTACGCGATTTGTAATCATCACGGACAAGATTTACAGGGTGGTCACTATACTGCGTTCTGTCGGAATCCGTATGATACTCAGTGGTATTGTTTCGACGATACCCGAGTAGAGGCCGTGAATGATACTAATTTAATAACAAATGCTGCGTATATGTTATTTTATCAACGAAGGGGATTGACTAATAATTCTGGCAACTCCTCGGCCGCTTCTACAAGCTCGGCCGGGTCCGGACTTGATCACTGGGTCTCGAAAATGCCACCGTTCTATTTCAACAATAAGACTAATAACAATGTTTCAAACAACAATCAGAGCAAATCGCAGGAAGTGTTATGTCAAGATAAGATCGTCGAAGAAAAGAACATAACGAATTTCAATAGAGGGTGTCGCAATTACGCTACTTTACAGCCGAAGAAAAGGAACGTTGCGACAGAAACGGATATCGGTCAGATTGATCATTACTCGGACGATGAAGCACCGTGCAGAAGAGAATGGGTAAGCTCAAAAGCAACGGCATGCGCATTATTTTGTACTATGAACAATTTATGAGTATTGTCTTTTTAATGTATGCTTTTAGGCTTCACCGAAACCTGTTCGAAAAATGTCGTCCATTACGTTAATGCCACAATCTACGATAATTCACAGTGCCAGTAGTGATCCAGACACAACGATAATACACGAGTCGACGTTGTAACACACAATTTAAGCCAGATGTTATCTGGCTTGAGCAACGCTCAATGTTTAGTGCCTGGGACATGGTGTGTGAACGATCAGAAATAAATTAGAATTGAAGAGTATAAAGACAATTTGTCGCGAAACTTAGGTCCATTCGTTTCGTATCGAAGACTTAATATAGTCTGTTTAGAGAATCTTTCGCTCCGAATTTATACATATAAAAATGCTTTTTTTTTTTTTAATATTATCTGAACATCAACCGAGCAAAGAATATCAAGAGCCTCTCTAATTTTTTTTGTTTTGATATTAAAAGGAAAAAAAATAAAATAAATAACTGACATTAGACGGATGTTTCCTGAGAATGCAAGTATAACTGGAGGCATTAGTGATTTTTGTATTTATATCGTGTTTACACAAATTGCGTGAATTGTATTGTACATTCTAGTTGTTAGAAAACTTTTTAAGAAAAGGACAAATATTATATTCAGTATCAAAAACTACGAATCCCTTATTTACAAATTGTCTATTGTTAATACTTAGACCTTCGACGCAATAGGTAATTAATGTTCTACATATGTCCAGCAAGAATGTACGTGTGTCAAAGAAACTTTGTACGCGATTTTCTTTTTTTTTTTTTTT